AGGGAATGGTTGTGCCGAGTTTAATTTACTTGCCCAATAGTACTAGATTTTGACTTGTCAACTTTCGAGTTAAACCCCTCATTTGATCCCCAATCATTGTATAAATTTTTTATTTGATTTATAAACTAAAAAAATTTTTGATTTAGTTTCTATTATTTATCAATTTGATCTTAACTTAGTCTTTTTTTTTTTTTGGTAGAAAGATCTTAACTTAGTCATTATGTATAAAAAAAGTTGATGTATTTTATTATTAACATGACACGTGATAATTAAATAATGGTTTTATGTCGTTAAATATTGAATATGTCAGCTATTTTTTAATAGAAAAGTCAATTTCAAATCAAATTAATAAAAAGTAGAGACTAAATCAAGAATTTTTAGTTTAGGAACCTACTCCAAAATCCCTATAATAGTTGAGGGACCAATTGGCAGTTTAACCTTCGAATTGCTTCGTGAGCAAGGACTTTGGCAACTGGGTAGCGTGCATCTGACGCGGTAACAAGTCGGTATTACCAGAATATAAAACGGGGGAATCACCAGCCTCTTAGCATCCCATCTCTACAACTTCTCTTGATTCCAGAAATGGCCTCCATGTTTTCACCATCCGAGATGTCCAACATTGCAGCCACGTTGCTCTCCACTTACGCCTCCTTAGCCGGAACCTTAATGCTCCTCCGATCCATGGCGAGCGAGCTCATTCCTGAGCAGCTCAGATCTTACTTCTTCTCCTTCTTTCACTACCTCTTTACCCCTCCCTCTTCCAACCTCGCTCTCGTTATCAACGAATACAGCGGCATGTCAAGTAATGAAGTATACAATGCCACCGACCTCTATCTCGCCACCAAGATCAGCCCCAAAACAGAGAGGCTCAGGCTTAGCAAAACCGAGAGGCAAAAGAATTTCGCGATCTCAATCGAAAAGGATGAAGAGATCGTCGATATTTTTGAGGGAATTCAGTTGAAATGGAGGTATAACTGCATAGAGCCCCGGGAACAGTATTCTGCAGAGAAAAAATTCTTCGAACTCAGTTTCAACAAGAAGTTCAAAGATAAAGTCGTCGACTTTTATTTACCTCATGTTTTGGCCAGGGCTAAACAAATCAAAGAAGAGTCCAAAGTGGTTAAGATCTATAATCGTGACTGTCCTCGCGGCGATGATGATACCGGTATCTGGGGTTCCATGATTCTTGAGCATCCAGCCACATTTGATACCGTAGCCATGGATCTGGAGCTGAAGAAGATGATAATCGATGATTTGGAGAGGTTCGTGAGGAGGAGGAAGTTCTACAAGAAAGTGGGGAAGGCATGGAAACGAGGGTATTTGTTGTACGGCCCTCCAGGCACTGGAAAATCGAGTTTGATTGCTGCCATGGCCAATTACCTCAAGTTTGATGTATACGATCTGGAGCTTGCAAGTATTTACTCCAATTCAGACTTGAGAAATGTATTGTTATCAACAACTAACAGGTCAATTCTTGTGATCGAGGACATAGATTGCAGCATTCAGGTTCAAGATAGACAAAATCACTCAGAATCTGATCTTTCAAACAAAAGGTTGGGTACCATTTTTGGGTTTGATTAAAGACCATTAGTTTCGTTCAATCTTTTAATAATGTTTGAGATTCTAATTCCTCTGTTTTTTTACACTGCAGTTAACGCTATCTGGCATATTGAACTTCATTGATGGACTGTGGTCAAGCTGTGGGGACGAGAAAATCATTGTGTTGACGACCAACCACAAGGATAGGCTTGATCCGGCACTGCTGCGTCCTGGCAGGATGGACGTGCACATCAACCTGTCCTATTGCACAGTTGATGCGTTCAGGATCTTGGCTTCTAATTACCTGGACATCAGCAACAGAGACCATCCCCTGTTCGGAGAAATCGAAAGCTTGATACAGAGCACGGAGGTGACCCCAGCAGAGGTGGCAGAGGAACTGATGAGGAGTGAAGATGCTGGCCTTGCTCTTCAAGGACTTGTTAACTTCCTTAAACACAAGAGGAGTAAATGTGATAAAATTGAGGAGGAAGTTGCTGAGATTGAAGAAGTAAACAGTTTGAAAAGTGATAATGAGGAAAAGGAAATTAGTGTTAGGAGGAAGAGACGAAGGGGGATCAGGATAGCAACACGAAGACGGCGAGGAAAGGGAGCGACAAAGGATTGACTACGTAGAAGTGCCAAATTGTTTTTTCACTGAAAAAATATAGTGTAGACTTTGGTTGCAGTGTCCCTGCCTCAGTTGATGTTAAGAAAATTTGGAATAAGGCAAATTGATGTAGAGTATATAAGACCAGCAAGGTTGATTCTAATATACATATCCCTTCTCATAAGAGTTGAAGATTCTCATTTTTTTTTTTCTTCTTCTTTGTTTTTATTTTTTAAATTGTCTTGAACAAAGTAGAAAGACAATAACTATGTTAATAAAAAATACTATTAAATGATATTTCAAAATGGAGATTAATAGGTGGTAGTAATGAAAGACAAAATTTGAAGACATGATTTTTTGTAAAAATGAATTTCTTGAGACAACAAACTGGAAATTGATTGTGGAAATTCATACAGTTGCAAGAACCACTGACAATTGATGGAAAACTGCAGTTGTTTCCCTGCTCAGTCCATGTCCGATTCATGGTTCACAGAAGATCTTACTGTCCTGCGCGTATTCTCATGATAATCTTCATCTTCGTCATCTTCATCATCTTTCTTCTCACTAATTACACCATTCTTTAGCAGTAGCACCTCTAGTTTCTCAGTGCTGAAATGATCTTTTCCTCCAATATCTTGGAAGCCAACCACTCTATCAAATGCAATTCCCTTTCTGCAGGGTAACATTCCATGTTGTCAATTTGAATATGATTAACGAAACATGTTTTCTAACTTCAGCATTTAACAGAAACTGCTTAAAATATATATCCATATTGGCTAATGTTCCATTTGTTTGACTGGGTTTATCACAGGGAATTCAACTGCTGCTTTAGTTGTTAAAGCTTGGGTTGAAAGAGGAAATAGAAAACAGACTCAGGAATGTGATAACCATGATGATTAGAAAACAAACTCAGAAATCTCTTCTCAGAATTCTTGTCATCCCCCTCTCCTGGAGGGAACCATGCCACAATGTAGATAGGCATCTTAATATATTCAGGAAGGCATGAGAAAAAAATAGAATAAATATGCAGTAACAAAGACTGCTGACTTGCAAAATATGGCACAAGGCAACGTTTTGACTGCAAGTTTGGCAACAAAGAAAGGTGGATTCTGCATATTACATACAAAGATGAGTCTCTCACATAACATACATGATTATGCATTCACCAGAGAAAACCAGAATCGAAAGCTTATAATAGAATCACAAGTCACAACAACCAGCGTAATATTTGAGAAATCCATATCGAATTCCAGAAACAACAAGATCGTGATGAGAAAAGATGATCAGAAAAGATGATGATCTCCACACCGTGCTTAATGATCTAATCCAATTTCTTAAGGTGAAGAAGAGGGAAACTGAGGAGGCAAAGGCAAAGGAGAATTGTTCACAACAAGATCGACAGCTAGTAGAGGACAAACTGAGGAAGAGAACAAAAGTAGAGAATTAACTTAGTATATGGCAGGATTAAATTAAGTGAACTCTTTTAATTAGTTATTTTACTGAATTTTTCTGACATGTCA